CCACTTCTTTTTTTTTTTTTTTTTTTTTTTTTCCCAGGCACTTCTCAGGTGTGTTTTTTACACCTGTGAAAAAGACACGTTATTAAAAAATGCAACCGTGGTGTCTTATTCATTTTCTATTCATTTTAATGAGAGGTGTATTTTTTTTTTTTTTTTTTTTCTTGCACCCTTCCTTAGTTACATGCAATGTATTTATTCAGTGATGTGACTCAACAGAGTAGTATCTGTATATTTGGTATTTTCAAACCCAAACCATTTAATGTGTAGAATTATAATCGATCATTGCCTGGTAAATGATTGTAACTGTAAAAATTGCAGTGCTTTTCACTGTCAGTTAAGTCAGTCGGCAGATTTTCCTGCACACCTATCCCTCTCTATGAAAGCTTTTATATATTTCCCTGTTTTATTGAATAAATCTGTCACTGTGCAGTCTGTGTGTAATGTTACATTGGCCCTTTTCATTTGATATTGTGCGCCTAATAATAATGCTGAACATCAGTTTTATTTGGCCAGAATGCAGCTTTAATGCAGTTTTTAATGTATTTCCATTTGTCCTTCAAGAATTTGATACTTTGCTGCTTAGGCTCCACAGTCCTGAGCTTGTATTGTATGTAAACATCTGTATAACTTCAAATAAACATGTACACATTCATGTTGACCAAACTACTTTTTTCTTTTCTTTTACTTTACAGTTTTCTTCAACCAGAAGGAACCGGCTTTGGGGCAACTAGCTTAGGAAATGATCTGTTCACTGCCTTTACCAGCGTCCTTGCATACCATTGCTTCTATTATGCAAGTTCAGACCATCTGAAAAGGAAATGCTATGTCTGAACCATAAATTTAAAAAAAAAATCAGAATTCATACAAAACCATTATGTTCTCTTTATACTTGATTTTTGATTTGTTTTTTTTTTTAGTTTTGTTTTTTTGTATGGCGGAAGATATGAGGCGCCTAACCATTTTAAATGTGTGGCATGTGATGCAGTTTAAAAGTTATCGTATCTCTTTAAGTAGAACTAAATCCCTCTTTCTTTTCTTTTCTTACAGCCAATGAAAGTGCCATCTTGGGCCCTGATCTACTGTTACCATGGGGCTTCACCCGTGGTCAGCAATGACGGCAGCAATTTGAGGGCTTGAGCCCTGATTCACTCATGTGGATTTGCATTTCATTTTGAACTGCCAGAATCAGATGACATTAGAAAAAGCATGTGTTATTGTACCGCACTGCACTAAAAAAAAACGTTTTCTGTGCACCTGCATGATAAACGCATAGTGGAACTGCATGTGATTTGGAAGGCATCTGCTCTCTAGAATCACATTACAAAACTTATTTGGCACTGCATATGTGTGAACCTAGCATGAAAGTTCAGGTTGAAAACTGACAGAGCACAATAACAACCTTGACTGTTTTTTTACCAGAGGTATTCCTTGAATGTAACTGTGTTGGAAACCCATCATTCAGTTGGCTAGTTTAGTTCACTTTAAGAGGAGACTCTTTGCGAGTTCCAACACCAGCGCAAATAAAAGGGGTGAAAGAGGACAGCCTTGACTGGTACCTCTACCCAATGTAAAAAAATCTGAGTTACAGCCAGGAAGCCTTATTCTCGTTTTAGGAGAGTTGTATAGGGTGTGTATACTAGCCAAAAACTCAATTCACTGAAGCCCATCTTCTGTAGCAAGGAAAATAAATAGGGCCAAAGAACACTGTCAAAAGCCTTGTTTATGTCCAGACTCATCAACAGAACCGCTTTAGAATGCAAATTGGCATCCTGAATAACATTTTAGGGTGAGGCGAATGTTTAAGAGGAGACTCTTAATGGAATACCTGGTCAGTAAATTTAACAGTCTTGATTTCTGTTCACTGAGATCATACATCCTAAAGCTACCAAGGTTGCCAACTAAATTTTTAATTTGGCATACACAAGTAAAAACATTTTTTTGTCACATTATTGGTGCAATTTTATGTTTAATCTTTAGCACAGTTTACAAATGCAACAGCATGTCCAAAATCTACATCTTGTCACTGCATGAAGTTGAGTGGTGCAAAAAATTGCCATCTGCAATACATGAAACCGTTTAGGGACAGATAGGTCATACCCAACTGGTTCTGGTCAAAGCAGTGGTTCATTTTTCACATGTGTTCTTGCCTACCTAATCAAGAACTTTTATGGAGGATAGTCATCTGTGAACACAAAAAGGGGTTTATTTGCTAAAGCTGCATAGAAACCAATCTGCTTTCAGATTTTATTGCCAAAGCTTAATTGAACAAGCAGAGGTTAGAAGTTGATTGGTTTCTATGCAGAAGTGAGCCTGATTTTGCACTACAGCTTTAGTAAATAAACCCCAAGGGGTGTGTTACCACAATACGTAGGTGTGAATAGAGAAAAGATCAGGACTCAAGTCAGACAACCTCAGCCCAATGCATAGAAGCTGGTGAAAAACATGTTGATGGGAGAGAGGGGAGTTTACCCCACCCACCAGTCTTCCTCTCCTTTTATATTCCATTAACAGGCTGAGTAACCAAGTTAAATTGTTTAACTGCAGTACAGAAAAAGCAGGTCACCAATGTGGCTGTGCTGGATTAAAGAACTGTGTAAATCTTAACACAGGCTTGACAAAATGGCAAATTCTTTCCGATGTGTATTTTAACTGTGTATTATCAGTTTGCTTGGCATTCTGCTTTAACACAATGAATTGTTTATAATTAAACCCTTTTATAAAAAACGTTGCCTCACTGTTTTGTTTGTTTTTGTAAAAGGTTTCATTTTTAGCAAGAAGAATTTGTTCATCCTTCCCTTTTGCAAATCCATAATTTTTGGGGGTTATTATTTAGTGTGTGTTGTTCTGATGTATTTTGTTTTAGATAGTGAAGTTAGGCTGTCTGTGTCCTTTCTGAGATAATTATTCTCTTAGGTCAAATTCACACATGCATTGTACAACACCTGTCACTGTAAGGGACACAGAACACAATCATTTTCTGCATGTTCCATTCACACCGTAATACTGCTCGGAGCAGCTCCATGAACAAAGTGTTCCTTCGTACACTTCAAATAAAGTTTGTACTAAAACAAAAGCTGTGTGACGTGCTGAATTGCACACAACACTATCCCCGCAGTCCGGAACGGATACAGCTGCTGCATGCACATAGCTGTTGCTCCCAATTTGACATCCATGCCGGTGTATGACCTCGAATGCGGACAGTGTGAGACCTACACAGATGTCAGCTTGGCAGCAGTGGTTGTATCCCCACAATATAGAAGGCTCATAAATCTACCTCTTGGAAGATATCGCACCTGGAAGGCTTAAATTTGCCTCGTGCAGGGCTCTGGGTGTTCATCCACATTCCCTCAGTGGCTTGGGCGCTGACCCTTCTTCATTGGGGCGTTGAACAAAAACTTTGAGGTACCATTAAAGGGCAAGTTTCTGGCCCCCTTTGCATTCCCCATTACCACCGTGGGGCTTGAATTTGGTTCTTTCGGTCCTCCAGCAGCCTCCCTTAGAGTGTATTTGGGATATTTCCCTGCTTACTCTTTTTCATAAAGTTGCCTTGGTCACAATCACTTCCCCAAGCCAGGTGTTGAACATGGCAAACTTATCTAGTAAGTCTCCCTATTTGATCCTACACAAAGATAAGGTGGTTCTCCGTCCATGCCCCTCCTTCAGAATGTGGTGTCATATTTGTACCTAAATGAGGACCTTGGTCCTATCTTTATGTCCACAACCTTCTCATCCTGATGAGGTTGCTTTGCACTCCTTGGATGTGGTTTGTGTGTACCTGTCAGCTATTGCTTCATGCTGGTGGTCAGATTCTCTTTTTATGCTTGCGAACCACCCAAGGAAAGGCCTGGCAGCCACCTCTGCCACCATTTTCAGTTGGACCCGGTAGATGCTTGTTCAGGTGTACACTATTGAGGGGTGGGCTCCCCCCTTCTCTGTTACGTCACACTTTGCCAGGGCGACCAGTGCCTCCTGAGCTTTCTGGCATCAGGTGTCCATGTCTCAGGTATTTAAGGCGGCTACCTGGTCGTCTATGCACACTTTTAGAAAGTTTTACAAGGTTGATGTGTTTGCTTCTTTGAACTCTAGTTTTGGCTACATGGTTTTGCAGGCTGCTGTTCAAGGTTCCTTGTTTGCCCACCCCATTGCTTTGGGACATCCCTATGGTCAGGATTCAGAAGAGCTGTGTCCATCAAATGCAAGAGAGAACGTGTGTGTTTTTTTTTGTTACCATAAAATCCCTTTCTCTGAGTTTATCCACCCCTCTATTGGAATTTTCTACTTCCTACACTGCTTTGTTACGAACTGGCTTGCCTATAGCAGAGAGGGGCTTTATATCAGAGGGACTGCCCATAGGAGGCGCTCTGTTTTTTTCTCTGCCTAGATTCCTACTCCTGTAGGTGGCACTAAAAAACCCTATGCTCAAGATTCAGAAAAGCTGTGTCAGTCAATGAACTCTGAGACGAGATTTTATGCAGAGTGAAAAAAGAAATCCCTGTTATTCCTGATCTAATTAAAACTGTACAATCTTGAGTTTCCCAAGCCTTTCACTCAGTGTTCACCAGGGCAAGTATTGGGGGTAAATCTTCCAAGCAGGTGAACAGTCTGCAAAAAAATATAGGCCTTTTGAGATTTCCCCACACTATGTAACTAGAAAAGGCTTGGCTTAAGGTGAATGTTGTACGTTTTAAGCCTATGTCTTCAATCTGTTTCAATAACCCTTTATGTTCTGAATAGTTGATGTTGATTTGGGTTTTAGGACTTTCACTATATGTAGTATGTTTATTTTATACAAAAGAAATCCTATGTTAGAGAGGTCACAGTGAATAGCTAAGCTGAACAGCCGTGTTGAGCCTGTTAACAGCTGTGCTGGGTCTGGTAGTGTTCTGTTCACCTAGGCCCTGGGCACCAGTGAAGATTCTTAGAGAATAAATGTTCTATTTCCATTGAAAAATGCAAAGAAATAATCTGAATCAATCACATTGATGTTTTTTGTTTTTCAGGCTGGAAACTTAGTCCTGTTGTGGGAGCTGTATATGGACCAGAACTCTATGCTGGTAAATCTCCATTGTAATTTTACACTCTAGTTGTGCAAAGGGCAAAACCAAGTCAGTGCACACCTCTGAGGTTTACTTTTTACACAAGGCTATTAATATCTTCCCATTTGCCTTGCATTGCTGCACACATGGCCTATTCATTTTAAATGGGCTGCCAATGATCCAACACAAACAAAATGGCTAGGTTCCTAGCCATCATATCGCTTGAGAATCAAGTATATACAAGGTAGACCTAGTAAACTCAGAGCTACTATGTATACATATTACAGGTCAATGACTTAAAGTATTTAAAGCTTTAAATAAATTAATTTAATTAGTTTAATTTAATTAAACCCAAGAACAAACATTTTATATATTGCTGTTGAGCAATCTTTAGATGTGGCTGCGTTTTTTAGGGGTTTTTTTTGTTTTTTTTTCTCTCCGAATTTTCCATTTGTTTTACCTGATCCTGCTAGTAGCACACTTCCTGTCCTGGGGTGACAAGGCTTACACGCTGTCCTGTATCTATGGAAGAGTAGCATTGTTGCCTTTGTATGAGGACTACAGAACACACCATTCCCTTCTTCTCTCCTGTAGTCCAGAGATAGCTTGGAGCAAAGAGAATGCAGCACAGACACAGAACAAAATAATTTTATCAGCTCAATAGATTCTGGTAGAATCAAGTTTTTTGCACTTATATTTGGACCATCAAAACCATTTCAAGTGTATATTTAATTGACAAAACAGGAGATGTTTGTTAGGGTTTTACGTTCAAGCCACAGGAATGGTGAGACAGCTAGGCAAGTAACATTTTTAGAGGGTTAGCAATGACTGTGTGTGTGAATGAACTCTTCCTCTGATATCTTCCAAGTGTGCTGTTCTTCACTATCCAAGGGTATTTGGTCGCTGTGCATTAGGAAATAAATTTTATTAATACATTTAACAGCAGTGTACGAAATGAACAACCGTGCTGAGCTCACTAAAAATAAATTACAATTCACTCAAGACCTGAATCTGTCCACTCCTTGCCTGGACCAAAGAACTCCCATCAACAAAAATAGTCCAATTCTCTTGGAAAATGTGTATAAACCATACAATTCACATGCAGATACAGACAAAAATGTAATGTTTTGTAATAACCACAATTATAACAATGCAGTAAAATTCCTAATGATCAACCAATATCGATGATATAAATGTATTAAACATAAGAACATTATTGTTTTGCAGCTTATTAGTCCTTGGATGCGGTGGCTGTATACACTTTTTTTCTTTCTTTTTTCAGGCCAAGTACAATTTCTGTAGTTAAAAAAAAAAACAAAACAAAAAAAAAACAACCCTGTTAGTTCTGCTAAATATCCAGTGTCCTCATTTCCTTTGCACTGAACTGGAATCTCAAACGTTATCTGTCACCTGCAGAATACCTCCCCTCCCCTTATGAAGAGGTGTTCTGTAGTCCAAATCATAACAACCAAGGGTGACAACAGTACACTTCCACAGACAGTGCAGTGAGGGCAATGCAAAACTAGGGCAGGAAGTGTAAAGAAGATGGGAAGGATCACAAAAAACATACAGCCACCACACCTGGACTGGTAAGCCATAGATATGTCTCTTGGCTACTACTGAGGTCTATGAATTGTTTTTTATTGTTACTAGTAAGCTTGATAAAGGGACGGTAAAAATGGTTGCTCCTTTAGTACGTTGTGGAACTTAAAAATTGCCTTGTACTTTTTGTGCTGTACTCCTCCCTTTTTATCCCCAAGGGGGTACACTTCTACTGAAAATTAAACCAAGAACAAAAAAAAATCTAAACGTCTACACAACTGCCTTTTAAAGCAACAGATCTTAGATCTATTATGACAGGGCGTTTTTATTGTGTTGATTTGTAAATGTTATGAGAATAACGTTTTTATAGAAACAGAATACTTGGCTTTTATAAATGTATGGACATTGTAAATTAAGTGTTAAGAGTATGAATGCTAGATTTTATATTATATTTTAATTTTTTTGCCAGAAACTCCATGTTTTAACATAGAAAGTTGTAAACCGCACACAACAAATTTTTTTAGTCTATTTTTCCAGATTGACCATTATAAGGAGGTTACACCTGAATTTGTTTTGCCCTAGAAGTATGTAGACATTGGGATTCTGTTCTTTGCTACCTGGTGGTGGGGGATGGGTCGTCATTTATAAACAAATGTATCCTTCTTTCCCACAGTTTTTTTTTTATTACTGTATGTATTTTTTCTTTTTAAATTTTCCCAACAATCCTCCCAAAGCTGCACCTGGGCTCCAAGCTGACGTCTCTTTGGCCACTGAGGCTGGTGTCCCCCTGCCTGGACCAAGGGGGGTTAACACGTACATTCCATTGATCAGTAAGTAGGGAGTGAAAATGGCCCTTCAACTTCCCAGAATCCCTCTCTGGCCCTTATCCTGTCTTCCTGCTCGTATTTGCACGTGCAATTTGTGTTTGCACTGGGATTGAAGGGGAGGAGGAATTGCAGCCTATGCATTAACAGACACAGTATCGTCTTTCTCTGCAGTGCATTACAAAACTGCCTCCCTGTATCAAAGCATTTATCTTTCTATTCATTGTATGTCAGTTGGGTTGCTTGTAAGAACTCAGTTGTGTTTAGTTATATGTATGTTTCATTTCTAGCCCTATTTAATGGAGAGGTGCTTAGGACATGAAAGTTACATGCCAATTATTATTATTTTTTTTTTTTTTATCACTTCAAGTATTTTTGTGAAATTCTTACTGGTGTACTGCAGCAATTGACTCATGAAAACTGGAACAAGAAATAAGAATATTTGTTCACAGCAACCTGTCAGATTTCTTGTGTTTTCAGTGCAGATTAATGAATAAAAACTGGAAATGAACAGGCATGTTTTTTTTTCTTGGCTTTTTTTTCTTTAATTACGCCTATTTTTTTCCCTTGTGGCTTTGAGTTTGCCTTTTTTTTTTTGGTCCGATAAGATTTTTTTTTTTTTAAAAGATCTCTAAATCGAAGAACAAAAATGCAATATTGAGCTTACCATTCCTTGGATGTGGTGGATGCATTAGGCAGGCCATGCATTAAACTTTTTTTTTTTTTTTTCTTGTCAACTAGTGGATTGAACAAAAAAAATAGCAATTCCCACATCCACACATTCGAGGTGGATGGGGGGAATCATTCCCACTGTGCTATCATGTTATCAAACTAGGGAGCCTTCCCTGCCATGAGAACACAACAACCAAGCTATAGCTAGTGGCACGGATTGTTCTGAAAAAAAAAAGACAGGGTGCTTGTACAGAAGACCATCGATTTGACTTCTGTACAATCAGGTTGCCTGTATGTGGATCGAAATTTGGCCAGCCTCTGCTGAACCGGTAAAATTTAATTTCATGTATGGCTGGCTTAAAGCAGGCCATAGATGGTATTATTATACAGGATTTATATAGCGCCAACAGTTTGCGCAGCGCTTTACAAAATGAAGGTAGACATTACAGTTACAATACAAGTTGGTATGATTTTCTTTTCTTCCACCAATGGTAACTGTTGATGGGGGAATGCCTTCTGCGGTGCAATCGTATTCTGTCAGCAGGGAGCTTTCCCTGATGGCAGAACACAATGATTACTGCTAGCAGGTATAGCCACCAGCAGGAATCGCATACAAAAAAATCTGATGGGCCAGTTGTACTGAAGTTGATCAGTGGATCAACCTCGGTACAACTAGCCTGCCCATTGATGGAACAAACCTCGGCCAGTTCCTGCCGAACCGACTGAGATTCAATCCATCTATGGCCAGTTTTAGTTTTTCATTTTTCGGCTAAGAAAATTTTTCAGCAAGTACAGAAAGTTGTGGCCAGAAATGCAGTAGTCTTGTCACTTCATGTGAGCGGAACTGAAAGCACAAACAATGTTCTGTTTCGTCAGCAAACTACTGTTATCCTTCTCTCCCATGTAATGTAGATGAAGATATGTTTGGTGTCCTGCCTGGGTAGGTGCCATGGTCCCTCTATATAAAAAGGTAGTGAGGTGAACATAGCCACCTTATGTCAGCTGTGTTTGCAGAATCCCGAAGTTAAAGTAAAGGAAAGGTCTTGAATTAATGTAGCCACCTCATCTATGGGCTAGTAAGCTACAGTATTACATTTTTGTTTTTGGCTTTAGATATGCTTTTCCACACCTCAATAGTTATTTAACAATGGCTGACCATGCAAGTTGCTATTTTAAAGCCCAAGTTTAGTCAAAACACTTTATTTAAAATATGTACAGGGGACAGTACTTATATTCAGTGTGAAGTGTCCCTTGTTCTGCTGACTGGTCTGTTAGTTGAAATCTAAAATTTTCCCAAAGGTGAATATATCCTTTAATTATTGACCCTGTCACTGTACAAACTGTTTTTAAGCAAGTCTTGCCTATAAAAGAGTGCAACTACTCTTCTTTCTTGCTACCTTTACCACTGATTTTTGAGAAATCATCTACTGTTGCTCACTCATACTTCTTGAAATATGCATCTCCAGGGTCACTCATAACTTTTTCTACTTTCTTCCCTCTGGCCTTCAAATCCCTAATGCAGGTGTACCTCGTTTTATGAATTTAATGCATTCTCCGGGACGTTTCGTATTGCAAAAAAGTTGTAAACCGAAACGCAGTTTCCCATAGGAATGCATTGAAAACCAATTAATCCATTCCAGAGGTCAGAAAAAAGTTTAAAAAAAAGTTTGTTGTTTTTTTTTCTTCACTATAGCTCAGAGAATCAGCCGTCACTTTCCCCCAGCTAACAAAGTTTCCTTTTAGTTTATTTCCCTGAATTAAAAGAAACAATGTTTCCTTTTTTAGTTTATTTCCCGAGATAAAAGAAACAAAAGTATCCTTTAGCTTTGGGGAAAGTGACAGCTAATTCTGTGAGCTATAGTGAAGAAAAAAAAAGCGGGCAATTGCATTTAAAAATCGGCACTGACATACACTTCGTTTTGCAAAAAAAAAAATTGTAAATCAATGGATTTTTCTTCATAAACCGAAAATTATGTTAACCAAAGTGTTCATAAACCAAGGTACACTTGTATATTGTGTAATGGGTGGCGGTCAGAGGGAAGCATTAGTGAAAGCTTAGGGGGACTGAGAAGATAAACTCTCCCAGAAGATTGTCCGCATTGGAGCAGAGTTTGATGATGTGGACATCAGGATTGCAGAGTCTGTACGGTCATCTTTTGCGGGTATGGGTTGCTTGAACATTTTTTGTAGAGTAACAGGCTCTTATTGATAGCTCCCTTAGAAAGATGAGCTTCTGATTTTTAAGTCTAATCTTTTTGACAAATGTTCCCAGTCCTTTAAACCTCTCCTCACATTTAGCAGGGCTTAGAAACAAATGTGGTGTGTGATGGGATTTTGTACAGGATAAGAGTTTTCTCTTTTTCTTGATTGCTTTCAGAGTTCTTGCAAGTAAACTAGCTGTTTTGTCCTTTTTTCTTTTTTCTTTTTTTTTCTTTGTATCGTTTTTGGTCTGCTTCTTTTAATTCTAATTTGCTGTTTTCTTGTGGCATGAACTTTTAAACATAACTTGCTAATTAATCTTTTGTTCAATAATTGCAGGTTTAAAAAGCCCGTATTTTTAAAATTCTGTTTATGCAAATGAAAGTTTTCTGTACCTGTCAAAGATTTAATACTTTACTGCTGCCCAATTGTGTGAGTTCCAAAAAGGATTCCATACCGAATGTGTTAATTTTTCTAGTGATTTTTGCCTTATAAAGACTACCTCCACCTGAAAGTGTAATTACATTTTGATTGTAGGATGACTGATTATAGTGGAACTCTGGTCAAACATTTTGCCACAAAAACCTGCGCTGTAAAGGCACTGCTGTCTTATGTTGTAATTCACCTCTTCAATCTCTACCTAAAATCATTGGGGGTAAGCTTTTTTTTTTAGCAGGTGACAGGGAGTAAACATGCCCACTTAATTTGTACTGGTCAATCTACAAAGTCACGTCCCAACCTATGCATTGTTTGGACATACCTTCCCTTTCTAGACTTCACAGAAGCTGATTTTCTAAATGCACCCCTTGCTTGGAGCGTGATGCAACATGTCTTGGGTGATAGAATGTGAGCAGTCGCTCCTGGTGTCACAGAACATGACTTAGAACAGCTACTATCATGTAAGATTAGAATAGAGTCTGCAGTCATTACAAAAACCTAAATAAAGTTATTAAAGCACATTTTTTTTTTCTTGAGGTACTTAGGTTTGCTAGGCCAAAGTTCCACTTTAATTAAATATATTAGATTGGAATGTCATCAGTGTACTGCGACATCTTTCATACATGAGGTCAACTTCTGTGAAATTATTGCCCTTGAATAGAAGAATACTGTAAAAGTACACAGGAGATACTGACCCAAGGATTAGCTTAAAATGGAACTTCAGGCAGAGATTTAATTTTCGGGTTTAAGAAAAATAAAATAAACATTGTATGTATGTATGTATGTATGTGTGTATATATATATATATATATATATATATATATATATATGTGTGTGTATATATATATATGTATATATGTGTGTGTGTATAAAATTTATTTTCATATTCTCAAATGAAGGATATTCCACGTCAGGATCTACTTTAACCCCTTCAAGCCGATATAACACAAATATATGCGGCCTCACATAACTGGTTTTTTTTTCCCCCCGTGGGGCCGCATATTTGTGTACCTGTCTTTATGCTGGGAGTGCACCGCACAGTGCTCTCCCAGCACAAAGAATGGAGTGTCGTTCAGAGTCCCAGGTCCCGTTCGAACCATCGGGACCCGGGACTCCTGATTCTGGGTCACATGATCGCTGTGGTAGCCTCTGATTGGCTATCAGTGATCAGTCACTGTGAAGCCCGCCCCCTTGTTTTTTTTTTTTTCTTTTCTTTTTTTCCTCTATGAATGGAGGAGAAAGGTACATTGTATCTTTTTCTCCTGGCAGAGGCAAAAAAGACTGTACTAGTAAAAAAAAAAAAGAGAAATTTAAATATTAAAAAATAAAAGAAAAGCACCTAGATCAAGGTTTGATCTAGTTCAGTGCCAGGGTTAGTGTTTGGGTCAGGGTCAAACGTCAGGATTGATTAATTTTTTTTTTTTTTACATTTGTGTCCGTGTTTTTAGGTTTAAAAAAAAAAGAAAGCACACAATTGTTTCTGGGCTGTAGTACAGCTACAAGCAACATACACATATATGAATGAAAATTTATTTTGGGTTGTTCTTTGGTGGTAGGTTATGGTAGTAACCAGAAACACACAGCTAAATTAAAAAATTTTTTTTTTTTTTACTATTTTGGGCCAGATTTCCTTTGATAGTAGAAAAAAAAAAATCAGGAGATATCCATTACCATTTACCACCAAATGAAAGTCCAATTTGTCCTGAAAAAAAACAAGGTATAATTCATCTGGATGTACAAAGTAGTTGTGATATGTACGGTTTTACTAACGCATGTCAACGTTGTAAAATTTTACTTGGGCTTTAAGATTTGTTTTACCCTTAGGCGTGAAGGGGTTAAATCAAATTTATTGCAAATTGCTATGATGGTGGCTTTATAATCAGTGATGAATTTTACTTACTTCAGTAATTGAAGCTACGCTGCTGTACTTGTATTATATACGATTGTGCATTGACTTATTTATACAGTAATCTGAGTGATTCATATACTCTTGATAAAATTGGAAAACAAATTTAAATGTTTACACAAACTGGTATAATAGCCAGTAAAACAACCTGTTATGCCAAAACTGTCTAAATAGTCTATGAAAGGAAATTGCGCACAAACTTCAAGTTGAACTCTAGGCAGGTAAAATAAATGCCATAAGTGAAGCTTAGACATTTCTTTGCTTCCTATAATCCATTGCACAGTAGTACTTAGAGTGTCAGCAGTGTCACTCAGAAAGGTTTGATGCTTTTTACACTGCTATCAGTCTAACACAAGGAACATGCTTACACTATATCCTTTTAGCCACCCACCTGTCTCTGCAGCATAGCAGGGGTGTATGAATCACAAAAAGGCTGTTCACATGTATTTTAGGTGTATCATTTGAGTTGGGAGGAAACTGCAAAGAAATGAAAAGTGAGTGGTAGACACATAACCATATTTTGAGTACCCTTTAAAAAAAATTAAAAAAATCTCCTTTCTCTCGTGCGCTCCCTCTTTTGCTTGCGCACTCCTTTCTCATTCACTTTCTGCTTTACTAGGGACTGACCTCATGTTTGTGCCTGTCAGCTCCCATTCTGTTCTCGAAGCAGACTGCCTCAATGACTTGCAAGGGTGGTGTTATTGCACAAGAGACTGGTAATTAAAGGAATTTAGCCACAAAGTTAGGCCCCAGTAACCCGGTAAGTTTTGGCGAAGGAATAGGGGAGGCTGTTGCTTTTTCGGCTAATAAAGGCAACATCGTGTTGTGATGCCTTTTAGACAGGACTTAAGGACATGTTAAGCAGCCTCCCTTTTTAAAGTGAAGTTCAGACAGTCTGGGTAAAATCTAAGAAATGTTTCTTTAGAGGTTTGGAAGTTGTATTGCTATAGATAAATATAAAAGATGATATAAATGATACACTTTTGCTGTTCGTTTCCAGAGTGACAGGATATTTTGCCTATGACTTTGTTTAAAATATCTCATCTTCTTCTTATTTTTCTCTTTTCTGTGTCCTTTCTTTCTGTATCACCTTCCTTCCCTTTCTGTCTTTCCTGTTTTTTTCCATTTTGCAGTTCCTGGATTTCCCTACCCCACAGCTGCAGCAGCTGCAACTACAGCAGCTGCCTTTCGAGGGGCACATTTGAGGGGTCGAGGAAGGACGGTATATGGTGCAGTGCGGGCAGTGCCGCCTACTGCTATACCAACCTACCCTGGGTAAGTAGAAGGCATACAGAGCATAGGAATCTAATCGTCAAGAAAATGGGAAGGAATTATTCATTATAGTGGACATTAGCTGTATAGCCAGAAACACTTAAAACATAAATGAATGTTACTCAATAGATGTGAATAAAATCTAGATTTGTAAAGGCTTATGTAGTTTATTGCAGCAGTTCATAATTGTCGATTATTTAAGACACACAATTTTTTTAATTTTTTTAATTTTTTTTTTTAAGAATTCTTTAATATGCTAAGGCGCACCCACAAACACCCACGCACATGTGCACATTTATATAATGTATGTGACCTAAATGTATATTTACCATAGATTAGTTGCATACAACCAAGTACTAACTCAAGCCACATTTTTTTCAGTGTGAATAGAGTGGGAAAGAGTCATATTTCTGTGTTTTTTTTTTTTTTTTTTTTTGGTTTTTTTTTTTCTGTCTGTAAACCTAGGCTGGCCATACATTATACAATTTTCTTCAGTTTCCTTTAGATTCACCTTAAACAATGTAGTGCAAGGGCCTTCCTGATTGCATACAAATTTAAAGTGTTTAGGTTTGACCTCCTATTGTATGGTTTTGGTAAATATAAAGGAAAATTGTATGATGTATGGCCAGCCTTAAGTAGATTCTCTCACTTTCTTTCCATGTGACACCATGACAAGAAATGGGATTTTCAAGTAGACAGGAAGCCACAGACCACATGAATACTTTGTTCTAATACTTTGTTTTTAAAAAAAATTTCTGTTACGGTCTGTGTTTCTGTTGGAGAATGTCTGACAGGAAGCAAAGGGAAGTTTTCTGTATTGCAGGCACAGACTGAAAAAATCTGACCTGACAGAAGCTCTCACCCTTCCCCACTCTATCCAAAACAAAATAAGATTTGACCAAAGTTGGGCTTTAAAATACATTTGTGTAGTTATTGTAGCAAGGTGAAAGCATAGAAAGGGAAGATTTTATATAATTTCAATGTAGAAATTAGTATTTTTTTACCTTTTTTGAAAGTATTTTCCTATTAGATTTTTTTTTATCCAAGTGTAGTTTTAATTTTTCCTTTTCAGAGGGTATTGTAAAATATTATCCCTCTGATGCTGAATTTGGTCACCAAATATCCTTAAATCAGATATGTTTACTGAGTGGATAAAATAGTTTAGGGAAGGGCCCAGATGGAGAAAATTGAGGGGCAAGGCTGGTTTGTGGGAGCGGGGAGGAGGCTGTTTGAGCTTGTCAGTAACTGCACTTGTGTGTTTTTGTGTGACCAGTCATAGCTGACACGCATGAAATTTGGCCTCATACATAACTGGGTGAGCAAACTTGCGGGATGTATGAATAACCATGGGAAATTTGGTCTCATTTTAATTGCGTCCATTTCCAGTTTACAAATCCTTGATAGACAGTTATGATATAGAATAAACCAAAGAAGTAACCCAAAAGCTGTAACTGTTTTGCAAGGTTTTACAATATATGTAAACTTATTTATTTGGATAAAATGCAAGTGTGTGTGTATCTACCATTATAAAGGACTCTGACATGCAGTTTTCATTCGGTCTGAGAAACTTGTTGATCCATACCTGTTGCTGATGGTGTTGGAGCTCTGCTTAACTATCGTGTTTCTTAGCACATGCAATGGGTCCCGTGGAATACGTTATTGACAAATGCACTAGTATGTGGTGGTGGTTTCTTAAAAAAAAAAAAAAAAACCTCAGAGCTTAAGCCTACTGATGTCAGAGTAAATTTCTTTCTTATCCATTGTATTCTGATTTACAAAACCCAGTGTTGAAAATAATGTAATCGGAAATGGGGAATACATTACACTATTGAAAGTCAGTGGAGATAATGGAATTCACCAAATCTGACCTGATAATATACTATTCTAACATGATACCTGCAAAAAGTAAAGCACTCTAGTGTTGACCGATTGGGGAGAAGCAGAAAAGAAAGGAACTGAATGAAAATATGAAATTACCCATTCCTACTCCAAACAAATTTTAGTAATTGACGCTGTGGAACACCTTTTTCAACTTGGCAGTTAAAGGGTTTCTAAACTAAAGAAAAGTTTCCATCTAAAGTGTGACTGGCCTCATACAAGTTCCAGAGCAGTAAACACCCCTTTTTTAGTTTGAATCCGTTCCTAGGCTAGCATTTTAGCAAATAGCACCCTTTTGGTAGCTGGGTGCATACAAGAAGATAAGGAAGGTACCAATGACCATAGTCCACACTGCTTATAGTAATCTTACCACAGTGGTATCCCTTCATTGTGTCAATCCATGCCAAGTTAAGAAATACTGTTTTGATGGCCTAACATTTTAATGAGCTAACACTACACTCTGCAGCTTGGTAAAACTTTAAAAAGATGGGAAGAATACTGAAGACTTTTTCACTTCTGTCTTGTTTTTCATATTGCAGAATGCATTTTGTAAAACCTTGCAATACAGCTGCTTGAAAGAAGTTAAGCCATTGGTTAAATGCTTTTTTTTTGATGTTGTTACTATATTAAATCTGCAGTCAAGAACAGTGTAATTTCACTTTAAGTGGGGTAATGCAATGATCATCTTGCTGTACAAAAATGTCTAGAATTTAGCTGAGGATGTTGATAATTGTAGCTAGTGAGGGGAGTAAGAGGATATTCATACATCTCTCTTGCCTGCTTATGATTTTTATGGCATGGTGCATGCAGCTGCTGTTAATAACCGGAATGTGTTTTTTTTTTTTTTTTTTGTTTGTTTTTTATTATCATTTTATCCCCCCCCCCTTCCTGGTGTGATTCTATAGTGTGCTATATCAGGATGGATTTTATGGCACAGAATTATATGTAAGTATGCAATGAAGACCTTAAAATTCAAAATATATATAAAATCCCTAATTTATATTTTAATATCAAATCAATTCTAATCCAGACCTGCTTCCCACTTCCCAATTCCTCTTTGCCCATGCAAGCCAGCCTTAATTCCCATCCATGTCACATCCGTTATTACACTCTATTATTTCTCATTAATGTGCCTTAAAATTTTTTTAATCTGTTTATATTTTTTCTCATTTGATTTTTATTTGTTTCGTTTTATAACATCAGTTGTGTTGTGTCTGGGAATGCAGGCATGCTGTTTTTAAACACACTGCTCTGGCCGCTGGAATGATAGAATTCAGGATCAAAGTGGTGTCATTTGTGGTGGCAGTAGGTAGACCTTAGTTGTCATGGGGATGTTTAGTAATGCATGCAATGGTGTTGGTCGCCTCCCCGCTGCTATCATATACTCGGGCTCCAACCTAACTAACATTTATGGGGTAAGGTCAGGGTGGGGGGAGTTATGTTAATTTTGTCCTGTAGGCATGGACTGAAATTTTAGTTCAGGTAAGAAAGGGATAATCTTGGTTCTTTTTTTTTTTTTTTTTTCTTTTTTAGGTCCCTAGTATTTGCAAGTGTTTTTTTATTTGTTTTTTTTTCAGTGGGTGACCACCTACCTGTCAATCCCACAGCCCATATCTTTCCTTCCTATTTACCTACCTGCCTCTGTCTTTCTTCCCTCTCCTTTTCATGTTTGGTTCCTCTTTACATACTTGCCTTCACTTTTTTAAGCTTTGCTTTCCCCACTGTATTCCTGACTCCTACCTGGCTTCTTATTCAGGGATGAAGAGGGCTATGCAAGAAACTCAAACTATGTAAACAGCATGCTAAGACATACCGCAAAATATGGTGCACCACAGGCTGGCTTGCTCCTCCCTAGTAACTGAGAATCCAGGAGGGGCATTGAGTGACTGGGAAGAGTGGGGTAGGGATTTTTTTTGTCTAATCATTTTCTCTTCGCAGGCTTCTCATGTTGATCATTTGCATATCTTTTTGGTTTTTTTTTTTTTTTTCTTTTTTTTTTACATCTGGGGTTTCAATATTGTTTTTGTTCTGTTATAGACTAGTCTTACAGGAACCAATCTTAAACCCTAAGCTACCTCAGGTAGGCGCCCTCACATGGCCTCCTCCCCCTTATTCCAACCAATCAGAGTGCAGATTGCTGTGAAACAAGATTTAAATTACTAACCCATAATTAACACCTTGTTGGAGAAGGGAACAGAGCCCACTTTCCTGAAAAGATGCAACAGATTTGTAATGTGGATTATATGGTTGAAAGTTAAGATTTACATGATTTAAAAAAGCAAAACATGGACATCTAAGAAAACTCACAGCAAGTTTAATTGCTAACTAGGAAGGATTCAGATCTCTAGTTTCTTTGCGTTTTGTATATATAAAGTGCATAAGAGAGGGGAATATGCACATTGAATTAACATTCTAGACTAGAACATAATAAATGGAGGGAGATCTACATATCTGGTTAAAGAAAAAGTAAATGCTTTTTTAGTAGTTGTCATTTGAATTGTGAGCTGTCTTAATTTTTATGTATTTAGTGAAAATATAAATACTGTAAAAAAAAAAGTGTGCAAAAATTATGACCAAGGCATAAAAGGTTGGTCATCCCAAAGTTATTTTGTTAGAATTTTAGCATGGTAGGCTAGTCATCCCTTGCATTGAATATGTTTGAAATCTTGAACAGTAAAATCTTCCTGAATCTGTTCATGCCTACATGGGGTTTTTGTGTTTCTACTTTTTTGCTTGCTTTAAAAACCTCCTAGTTCTCTGTACTGTAAATAAAATCAGATGGAATTTTTCAATTAATACATTCAGTTTTAAAATCTGTCCGGTGCAGTTATGACCACTGCACTTGCACATTCCTAGGAATTTTGGATGCATCACTCACCAAACAATATAATAAAATAATTAGGGGTTTAATCTATGGCATCTATTAAAAAGTCAGTTCTAGGTAAACTGACATTTTAGAACAATATTTTGTATTCCCTTGTTAGACAATTTTAAATTGCTATTAAATTTGATGTTGCTGCTCTAATCGGTATGTAATTTTTGTAATATCAGTTTTTTTCTCATTTTTTTTTTTTTTTTTCCATCTAGACACTTTATTAACACGAGGCAATATTGTCATTAGATGTGTCTGGTAAATGGTCACTTCATTAGTAATATACCTTAAGATAGTTTAAAATGGAGTATTAAATACCAGTGGAATGTAGTTAACACAAATAGAATATTTCTGTCACAACTTTACATTTTCTGCTGCCCTGCAAAACATACATTCAGACGAGCCTACCTACACCTACTTTTACATGCCAGTTAACCTCTGAGACCTTCCTCCTTGCCCCTACATTTCTTTACTACTGGTATTGCTATTAACCTGACTTCCTTCATTTCACTGCTGTCATGACTTTATCACCTCTATTCCAAGCATTACTGAAGTACTTGCAACCTTCCTCATATTCACAAGCAATCCATTTTGCTATTAAGGGCTTCATTACACTAATAAAACAGGATATCAATGGTTTTGGCTGCACCATGAAATACTTACTATTCTCTTAAGCCCCAGGTTAATTTAAAGGTTCATGGAGATATACAACTGAGGTTCCTTTTTGCACAGTCTGTGACCTTATAAAGTCTTTGACTGTCTGTTATCTGTAAATCACTGATATATTCCTGTAGTGCCATCCCCGAAGGAACTGCTTGGTAACTTTGGGTTCTCTGTTCTGTGCCTCTCTGACACAGCTGGTTTACTAAAAATCACTGCAATCATGGATAAATACAAAAGTGTAAAATAACTTTTAACCTGGCTGTGGGTTACTACCGATAAATACAGATACACCTGTTTAGTGGCAAATGCTCTTATTCTAATGATATGGGTTAGAATAAATGGCAAATTGGCACAAAATATATTTTATACCCCTAACTAGGATTAGAAGGGTAAGTCAGTAAATTGGCAATAAACCATATTCATAAACTTTTTGCAATATAAATAGCACTACACTATGGTAGAGTGCACTCTAAGGGATTGGCTTGGATGCAGTGTCTCTTAAGAGATACCTCTTTAACCAAAAAAAAAAAAAGACCCAAGGGCAGCAACTGTTAGGGGCAATCTTTAGTCCTGACTCTTCAGCCAGCTAAACGTTGGAGCCCATTGGCATGCATTAAGGCAGTCAAAGCCTCAGCTTTATGGAGTAACTGGAGTCCCTAATGGCTCATTCACTAACTGTGGTAACAAGTAGCGGCCACAAGGCCCTCTCACCAGACCCAGCGACACAGTAGTAGTGGTCTGACTGTTTACACAGTAAATTGGCAGATAGGGCAGGCAGATGAGCTGGGGTGTGGGTAAAAGGATCAGCTACACAAAAGCGTTCACTTTATACATGTATTGCCAAAATCGAACATTTTAAGAAAAAATTGGGTTTAAGTAAGATTTTAAAGGCGAGGAAGAATTAGTTTGTAGAGGTGTAAGGTTCACACAAATAGTGTTTTTTCAGAAATGCACTACAGTCCATTTAACGCAGTTTCCTATGGAATACGTTCACATCTATGCTTTTTTTGAGCTGCTGCGTTTTTGGAAAGGGTCAGTGACTTTTTAAAATGCAAAACGTTGCATTTTTGATTCCGTAGTCTCCAATGGAGATGCTGCAGAAATCGCATGTAATGCGGCTTTGCGCATTTTTAGATGCAGTTTGCGTTTTAAATCTACTCGGCAACAAGTTGGCCCAAAAAAAAACAAAGCTTCAAATGCATGTGAAAAAACACAGAGCGCCACAAAAAAGCACTGCAAAACGAACAAAATGCATACTGCATTAGTGTAAACCAGGCCTACATTAGGTTTGCTAAAGACCTGAAATGGCTGTCTTCCCCTAAAGTGAACACGTGTACAGAGTTTGACATTAAGCCTGGGTTCACATACAGTGGGGATCGAAAGTTTGGGCACCCCAGCTAAAAATTTGTATTAATGTGCATAAAGAAGCCAAGGAAAGATGGAAAAATCTCCAAAAGGCATCATATTACAGATTAGACATTCTTATAATATGTCAACAAAAGTTAGATTTTATTTCCATCATTTACACTTTCAAAATAACAGAAAACAAAAAAATGTTGTCTGCAAACGTTTGGGCACCCTACAGAATTTATAGCATGCACTGCCCCCTTTGCAAAGCTGAGACCTGCCAGTGTCATGGATTGTTCTCAATCATCGTCTGGGAAGACCAGGTTATAACAATCTCAAAGGTTTTAAATGCCCAGACTCATCTGACCTTGCCCCAACAATCAGCACAATGGGTTCTTCTAAGCAGTTGTCTAGAAAACTGAAACTGAAAATATTTGACGCTCACAAAGCTGGAGAAGGCTATAAGAAGATAGCAAAGCGTTTTCAGATGTCAATATCCTCTGTTCGGAATGTAATTAAGAAATGGCAGTCATCAGGAACAGTGGAAGTTAAAGCAAGATCTGGAAGACCAAGAAAAATATCAGACAGAACAGCTCGCAGGATTGTGAGAAAAACAATTCAAAACCCACTTTTGACTGCATGATCCCTCCAGAAAGATCTGGCAGACACTGGAGTTGTGGTACACTATTCCACTATAAAGAGATACTTGTACAAATATGGTCTTCATGGAAGAGTCATCAGAAGAAAACTTTTCTACGTCCTCACCACAAAAATCATCGTTTGAACTTTGCAAATGAACATATAGACAAGCCTGATGCATTTTGGAAACCAGTTCTGTGGACCGATGAGGTTAAAATTGAACTTTTTGGCCGGAATGAGCAAAGGTACATTTGGAGAAGGGGCACAGAATTTAATGAAAAGAACCTCTGTCCAACTGTTAAGCATGGGGTTGGATCAATCATGCTTTGGGGTTGTGTTGCAGCCAGTGGCACAGGGAACATCTCACGAGTAGAAGGAAAAATAGATTCAATAAAATTTCAGCAAATTTTGGATGGTAACTTGA